AAGACCCTGGACAGAGGAACTGACCCGGAAAGGATGAACCAAGGGGCATATCAATTGTGTGCAAAAATGACAATCCCATTGCTGTACATAGAATTTCACCATTTCAACAGTGCTGCATATAATACCATTGTAGCAACACTTAGATATTTCGGATCAATCCAAAACTTTCAGACAGTGAACATTAGGTGTGTTAGATCATTTTTGAACAAAAAACTGAAAATCGAATTTTTGGTCTGTGGTCATATTTTGGCGTGCTCTGGCTCATATGTCTCTGCTGTTTATAGGCCAAAGCTACTACAGTTGCAAGCTCATCTGAATCCGCCTCGGGTGGGACACCAAGGCCCATTTCAAAGACCAAGCCAACCGAAAAGGTATTGTCTTGTTTCATGTTGAGTCTCTCCATGTTCCTTTTGATTCTGTCTCCCCACTCCCTGGGAGACCCATGAGACTAGTTTTTTTCTGTTTACAAGCGTCAGGCGAAATAGCACGTCATAGTACATTCGAGATCAGCGGGAAGAAGATGACGACGTCCACTAATTTAGTATCTGTGCACGCGAATCTGCTGTGTGTGTTACTCTGTGTGTCAGCTATGGCATCATCGCCTGTGGTTCCATGCCTAGTATGTACGTCTGAACCATCCTGCAATGTTTGAATGACGTAGGTTGAGCGATCGCTCCGCGAAACATACTTTTTGAAATTCTCTTCATAGTATATCTTCCACCATTGAAATTTCGAATTTCTTCGAATTTTTTGCTGAGAGGGGTGGCTTGCAACCTCGATATGGCTTGTTCAAGGCCTGCTTTGGAGCCATCGCCTGTTGAAGTAGTGGCGGGGATCTGCCCTGCAACTGCTACAACAAAAATGATTCGATCTGAGAAAGGGTGAGACCGCGAATCTCGGTTGAATATTGAGTATTTCAAGCCTTTTCACGACGAAGATGGAGTTCTTTTTGGAGATGGACGTCGCGGCAAAGGACATGGTGTCCGACTTCTGGCGTCTGGTGAAGCCAGTGATCATTTGTCCAGTCAGGTCGGCAGCCTAACCGTCGGTAAGCTTGTGTTTGGATATCGTTCTGCTCGATGTGGTAGATCACAAACAATTTGATATCGCACAAATTGATCTCAGCATCGTGAGTACGGTATTTTATATTCTGAAAATCCCAAAGTCAAAGAGTTGGTGGACAAGCCGTTGATTATTCACTCTCATTGTAATATCAAAAAGTATTCTTTCTAGACCAAAGAGTGGTATATTTGATAACATTTAATAACGATAGAAATTTTTACGATACTTCTCCAGACGTTTCGTTGTTCTGAACAACATCGTCAGTGGATCCACTGACGATGTTGTTCAGAACAACGAAACGTCTGGAGAAGTATCGTAAAAATTTCTATCGTTATTAAATGTTATCAAATATACCACTCTTTGGTCTAGAAAGAATACTTTTTGATAAATCCCAAAGTGTCTCTGTGTGGCCCTCCTATGCCACGAGAAACTTCAATCAGGCTCCTATGTCCTCTGCCTTCATGATTGAATGTCCACTTCGTTTGAACAACGAACACAACAATCGAGGACGTCTTTGCAATGAAAAATAGAGCTATACTGGAGCTGAAAAAAAGAAGAAAAAAACGTGCTCAGGATGAGACTCGAGTACACGCATACTCTCCCAGCAGGTGAAACGCAAATTTTTGTGAAAATGCGTG